GCTGATCTTATAAGTAATTGATTTTGTAATTTTGTAATTTGTTTCATTTTATAATTTGCTGATTTCCATATGACATAACGACCCTCTCACCTGCATATGTCATCACCCTTGGCCGTGCAGTTCAGAGGATGAGATCAGGGCGTGCTGACAAACGTCTTTGCAACTTTTCTTGCTGACTGCGACCCGTCTTAGTGTGGGGACACGTGCTGCGTTGTTGACCGCCTGGAACATGCAAGGTCGGGCGCTACTTTGGTGCCCACTCTGTTCCAACTTTCAAGGCTGCAAAGACAGGTTGCGTCTGAGGTTGCTAAGTGACAAGCACTGTATCACAGGGTGCGTTCGGACATACACACCCAGAGTGTCGGAGCACTGTCTGAATGTACCGTTTGGCTATCCAGAGCACCACCCTCTGGGGAGCAGCAAAGCGCCAAACAGAGTGAATATGCGATGAACTTCACCGCTCGTTGTATCATGTGGCAATAGAACGCTCTGTTTCTTTGAACAACATCATTTTACTCTTTAGTGTCAGATCAAATATACGGACACACCCGGAGCCTACTAACCAGGAATCCTGAGTTTGGAGCTGATCTGTCAGGCGTTGTTTTTCAGGTGTAATAGGACTAAAATATTGTTTGTTGGAGAGGTCGTACGGCTGAGTAGCACTGCATTAATAATAATAATAATAATAATAATAATAATAATAATAATAATAATAATAATAAATTGAATTTATAAAGCACTTTTCATTTATTTTCAAAAGGTAGATCATTAAAACATTATAAAAACAAATTCAAAGAGTCATGGGCCGAGTCAAAAGCTTCTTTAAAAAGGAAAGTCTTTAAGCCTCTCTTAAAGGGATCCACTGTCTGTGGGGCTCTGAGGTGGCCGGGTAGAGAGTTCCAGAGATGAGGGGCAGCAGAACAAAAGGCACAGTCTCCCATAGTGCAGAGCTTGGTTCTGGGAGGTGGAGAAGGTATTGGTTTTGGGAGCATAGATTCCGGGTTGATTGAGATAATCCGGGGCATTTCCATGGATACACTGATGGGTGATGAGAGCAAGTTTGTAGCTGATTCTGGCGGAGATGGGGAGCCAGTGAAGGGTGCAGAGTACGGGTGTGATGTGTTTTATGACTTTCAGGAGGATCCTAGCAGCGCTGTTCTGAATAAGTTGTAATTTTTGCAGACTTTTGCCAGGAATTCCAATTAGAAGAGCATTGCAGTAATCAAGCCTGGAGGAGACAAAGGCATGGACTAGTTTCTCTGCATCGGAGAGGCTGAGAGAGGGACGGAGTTTAGTGATGTTCTTAAGGTGAAAAAAGCAGGATTTACACAGATGTTTAATGTGATTCTCAAATGTTAGGTGAGGGTCCAGTCTCACGCCAAGGTTGGTAACTGTAGATGAAAGGGGGATGTCCTAACCAGAGAAGCTGATGGTACCTATAGAAGATGACTGGACCTGATGAGGGGTGCCAATAAGTATGGCTTCGGATTTGGAACAGTTGAGTTGGAGGGAGTTACGACTCATCCGTGCCGTTATCTCCTCGAGGCAGCTGGTGAGTGTGGACAGAGGTGAAGATGAAGATGGCAGAGCAGTTGAAGGGGTTGGGTCAGTCCTGAGATACAGCTGAGTGTCATCGGTGTAGGAGTGTAAAGAAATTCCGCACTGTCTGATGACACAGCCAAGGGGGAGCATGTATATAATGAATAGAAGTGGGCCAAGGACAGATCCTTGAGGGACACCGCATGTAACGGGGAGGGTTTGGGACCTTGCAGCTCCCAAGCTGACAAACTGTGTCCTCCCAGAGAGGTAAGAAGTGAACCAGTCCAAGGCGGAGTTTGAGAGTCCAATATCATCATGGAGCCATTTGAGGAGGATGAGGGTAATGATCAGTTTCTCATCCTTCTTTATCACAATACTTACGGTAAAACAGGAGGATGTGTTTGGGTGTTTACACGTCATATGACGTGCAGTGCCCGTAGCTGCGTTCCAGAGGTCAAACTTTGTTCACCTCAGGACTCAGCTGTCGTGCTCTAAAAAACAGGTACTTGGGAATGCTTGCATGACGTGACGTTGCCTTCTGCCGCGCGTGTACACTGGAAACAAAGAATCTGACAACACAAAAAATCATGGCATGTGCACGAGTCTTAAACAGCAGTCCACGTCTGTGTTTTGGTACAGTTGGTTTGTACACCTGATGCAAACTGTACCTGGGTACGGTACACAGTAGTTACAGTTAAACACACCAATGTTGTGGTTCAGTGTGCTCAGGTCTGAGCTGTGGTTCGTGATGTAAACGCCCCCTGAAGCTCATTTAAAGACACTGATTACGCTCATGAGCCTGAACACATCCAGTGGATTCAGTGCTGATACACATGGTGCAGCATGTCAGGTGTGTCTGAGGGTTTTCATCATCATCATCATCATCATCATCATCAGAGATCAGAGCTGATTCAGGAACACATGAAGGAGGCTGAAGCTTTGTGTGTTGTCATGGAAGCAAACAAATCCTGAGTCTGAAGCAGGTTGTTCATTTTAGTTGAGTATGGTTGTGCTTGTGTGACTCAGCTGTGACATCATCATCACACACACACACACACACACACACACACACACACACACCAGACAACCTTGGAAAACGACCTCTGACAAACCCCCGCACACACTAAGACCTGTTTTTATGCGTACAGATATCTGAGTGGAAACGCTGAACACGTTTCCTGTGAGGTGTAAGAACGTCTGCGTGGGTTAAATCAGATGCAGACTGTGAATAAATGATGAGCTGGATACATGATGCGGAGACTGTAGAAACATTTCCAACATGTTCTTCATGGATCGAGCTTTGACTCTTTGAATCACCTCTTCTTCCTCTTGTTCTGCACCGACCAGCTGCCTCTGTGTATTTTACTCATATTCACCCAACAGGAGTGGATGCAGACAAGACTTGAGTCATATTTTAGTTTCATCAGTTCCTGGAAATTTTGTTAAAATCTGAGCTACACTTGGATGAAAGTTTTGAAATGTAAATAACTAAAACTGACAAAGCATCCTTTAGGACACACATTCAAGGATAAATGTTGGCATGGTGTGTTTCTGCCAACCACGGATATGTTACATTTTAATGTAGCATGGTAGCACTAAAGCTGCTGAAAATGCCATGATGGGTTGCTCAAAAACACCCATGTTTGGAGGCACAAATGCCACTGAAAATGCAGTGACGGGTGACTAATGAACAGCCATGTGTAGTGGCACAAACACAGGTGGAGATGCAGCAATAGGTCACTAATGAACACCCATTTGGTTGCACAAATGGCACTGGAAACACAGTGACAGGTCACCAAAAACACCCATGCTTGGTGGCACCAATGTCACTGGAAACGCAGAAATGGATTGCCAGTAAACACCCATGTGTGGTGGCACAAATGCTACTTAAAGCACAGTGACGGCTCACTAACAATCACCAATTTTTGTCAGCACAAATGCCGCTGGAAACAAAGATGGGTTGCTTAAAAATTCAGGAGCTTCAGATTGAGTTTTAAAACAGGAAAAACGGAGGAACTCGACTGTGAAACTCAGAGCGAGAAAATGTACAGAATGTCAGAGAAGCTGAAAGAGACACAAAGCTCTGTGTGTGTGTGTGTGTGTGTGCGTGCGAATGTGTGTGGGCGGACACACTCCATCCAGATCTGAGCCGTCAGGTTCCCATAGCAACCAGAAGCCTTGAGACTCATGAACGATTCTCAGACTGATGATGCTGGGTGATTGAATCCCTCGACGCTGCCTCACAGGAGGGCTGTGTGACCTCTGACCTCTGAGCGTGCTGAGGTGGAGGGTGATTTAGAGACACAGTGACTTCAGTGATGTCGTCGTCTCAGCAGATGTCTTGACGTGATAACGGCTGCCTCTGTGTTTACCCTCCAAACAGCAGAGGAGGCTCCAGCTCAGCACTTCTGAACCTTTCCGCTGCAGTCTGCACTTTGGACGCATTTAATCTTTTGCATCTAAACTTTTAATCTGAGCACTGACACTTGGTGGCCACTTTATTAGGTACGCCTGTCCAGTCTGAGGCAGTCCAGTTTAACTCTGCCTTTATGAAGCTCATAATGTAAAACTGTGTACACTACAGGCATCATAAAGTCACCATCATATAATGAACAAAGGTGTACCTAATAAAGTGGACATGTTGAAGCTTTTCATTTTATAACTTTTCATTTCACAATATCATTTTCCTTTTTCATATTTAGTTATGGCCTGATTATCTTTATGAGGAACTGATGCCGCCAAAATCTAAAAAAACAACTGAACAACAAATGAATATGACATTACCAAATTAAATATTGAAAATAAATGAAAGCATGATTTATTATTTAATTAATACTGAAGTTTCCCTTCCCTCCATTCATTATTTAATTGATTTATTTTTAGAATTATTAATTTTTTTTAGTTTTGCATTTATTTCATTTTTATTCATTTAAAATATATTTTTAAATGTATGTATTTCTTTATTTCTATATCGTAATTGTTTTTGCATTTATTTTGTAATTAACTGAATGTTTATGTTTTTAATTATTTATTTTTTTTAATTCATTTTGAAAGTATTTATTGATCCATTTATTAATTCAGTCATTCTTTACATTAATTTATTCATGCACTTATTTTTAAAGGTAATTTAAGTTCAAATTAATGTATTAATTTATTTTTATTCATTTTTGGAAGAATTTATTTACTTTTGCATTCATTTTTTAAATTAATTTTAAATGTATTATTAAAGTAATGTTTTTCTTTCTTTCTTTCTGTACTGTATGTTTTCCCACTTCTTTATGTACTTGCTCCTGACATCTTCTGTCCTCCACATATTTGGAGTACTAAACATGATAATTATCAAGGTGTCCTGCAGGAATTTATCTGAGAGGAGGACCGACAGGAAACACACAGCCTGCTGCATTTTGTATGATATTAATTAAATGCTACGTGTGTGTATGTGTGTGTGTGTGTGTCTGTAGGACCTGAGTGTGTTTGCGATGCCCTTCCTGGAGGGAGATCCTGTCCGAGCGGACAAAGACAGCAGCAGGAAGGTAAAACAGTTCTTCTCCAGATGTTGAAATGATGTTGAAATAATTAAACTGGAGGATGAAGTGATTTTTTTTACATGGATAATTCAGCTCCTCAACAATCAACACTGACGGACTTTTAACCAGAAGAAGTTCCAGCTGGTTGTAATCTGTAATCTGTAATCTGTAATCTGTAATCCTCACTGACAGACACCTCTGAATCCTCCTGAACCTGACACACTGGACCTTTCACTCAAAATCTTTATGAATCCAGCTAACTGGACCCACACAGACTCACCTGGTCTTTGTTCCCTGAAACATCAGCTGTGTAGAGGTCGGGGACATTAACGAGAACTAAAAAGTGATTTCGGACCAATTTAACGAGTAAAAATAAACTTCAAACAAAACTCTAAAGCCATCAAAACCGTCCAAAATCACTATTACTAGCTCATGTCATGTTCTACAGGCGACCCATGGTGGGCGATTTAAAAAGTAGCAGTTAGCAGCTAACTCAAAGAAGAAGAACACTGAGACATTTAACTGCAAACATGTTCTGTTTGTAGCGTACACAAGACGCAGCTACAAACCGCGCCCACCACTAGTACAACGTGACGGTTATCTGAACGCTGCTCCAACGCTACGCTGTAGTGAAGAACTACGAGACCAAATGTAGCAATAATCCACTTTATAATTCATAGTATATGAGGACATTGACACACACACACACTCGTGTTTGCGTGTTTGCGTGTTGCGTGTTTCCCGGCCACCGTAGACGTCCCCTTGACCAAATGAGACCTGACAGCCGCATGTTTCATGTTTTGGAGATGGACGACTACAGATTAATCGAGGAGGTCGAAAAGAATGGTGACCTTTATGATGTCCGACATCCATTGCATAAAGACAACCGAAGGAAAGAGAAGGCATGGGCAGCGGTCGCCATGGCAATTGGCTTTGATAACCGTAAGTAGCTAATACATTTCTTCTTTGGGGTTTATTGGAGATTTGCAAACACGGTGCAATACCGCCACCAACTGTTCAGGTGTGGTTTGTATTTTGACGGGACAGCAGCGGCTGCTGCACAATGTGTCTGTTCGATTTTGGTGTGAATACACGTGTGCTGCCGCTACGCTTGTGGACCGCTTCACGAATGCATCACTTGAGGTGTAAATGAGGCCTTACGCGAACCTTGACCTCCTGTCTTTTAACGTAATACTTCATAAGGAGCTAATCCCTAATTACTTCACGGCTAGCTAATCACTAATTTAGCATAACCATAAGTAAGGAGATGTAGCCTTTCAATTAATCCATAAATGTCCACAAATAGTAAAAACAATGAGCTCCTTACCGTTTTAGTAGAGGACGAGATCATTGTTATTGACAAGTGATGTCATTGTTATTGTTTATAAAGAGCTGCTGACATGTACTTTATATGTCACACTGGAGGCTGACGCTGATGTGTCACATTACATTACATGCTGTCTAAAATCACACACTGGAGCGACATGATGCCAAACAACAAAACTTAACAGCTCAAGTTCTTACGTAGTGTAAGGGCGGGGCTTATGCTAAGGCTTGGCCCATTACATCATTGAGCAGGCTTTTAGCCCCGCCCAAAACATCCTGGACACAGTTTAACAGTCTAACTCCACAGTTCAGTTTCTCAACAAGAGCTTTCCAACATGTAAATCTCAGGTTTTGCTGTAAACACGAGTGGAGGAGACAGAGATGGTCACTTATGGGTCGGTGTCCCACCGCAGTCTGTAACGTGTCCTCCTGTCCTGCAGGGGGAGCCTCTGTGCCACTCTGCCAGCCCCACCAGGAGCTTCCTCCATCGGGCTCCGTTCAGCCGGCCCTCCAGCCCTCGCTCCGCTCCTGCCCGAACCTCCAGCTCCAAGATGAGTCCCAGCTCCCCCAAAACCATCTTCCCCTACCAGACCGGACCCCCCCAGCAGGACTCTCCCTCCAAGTCTCCACGCAGGTACACACACCTGACACACCTGGCTACAGGCTGCAGCAGAATCAGTAGAAGAAGAAAGTCATGACTCTGTGTGTGTGTGTGTGTGTGTGTGTGTGTGCGTCAGGCTGAGTTTCAGTGGGATCTTCAGGTCGGCCTCCAGGGATTCAAACCAGCAACCCTCGTCCCCTGTCGGCATCAAACTATTCAGCCGCACCAAGAGAGACAAGGCCAGAGGTACAACACCGCCACCTGCTGATCATGTGACTGAAGCACACTGAAACTGCTCCACTTCTTAAAGGGACAGTTCACCCAAATCAATCAAACATGTTCTCCCTCCTCCCTGCTGCTGAAAGTAATCAATTACCTTACACTATTACTCTCTGTGTAGAGTAATCAGTTACTTAAGTCAGCCAAAATGAGCCCAGAAGAACTGATGTTGATGTTAAATGGATGAGGGTCATGTTGTTTATCATAGTTCAGGTCTGACTCATTCACTCATTCATGTGTTCACACGCAGTGGTTACCACTTTGGGTTACACTCCCTGCTGATAATAATAATACTGTGATGAATTAGAACCATTACATTAATAAATGAATCTCCTTGGACACAGGGAGGGTCAGGCAGAAGATCACAGTCTGATTATGATGAGTTATGGATTAATATTTGTGGGCCCATGACATAAAACACAACAAACAAATTTAGTTTAATTTATTTATTTATAAAGCCCAATATCACAAATCACATTTTGCCTCACAGGGCTTTACAGCATACGACATCCCTCTGTCCTTATGACCCTCACAGCTGATCAGGAAAAACTCCCCAAAAAACCCTTTAACAGAGAGAAAAAACGGTAGAAACCTCAGGAAGAGCAACTGAGGAGGGATCCCTCTTCCAGGACGGACAGACGTGCAATAGATGTCGTACAGAACAGATCAACATAATAAATTAACAGTAATCCGTATGACACAATGAGACAGAGAGAGAGACAGAGAGAGAGAGAGAGACAGAGAGAGAGAGAGACAGAGAGAGAGAGAGACAGAGAGAGAGAGAGACAGAGAGAGATGCAGGACAGACGGTAATGACAGTAGCTTACAACAACATTAATGAAAGTAATAAGTTAATTACTTAACTTAATAAGTTTAGTACAGGAGCGAGCAAACGCTAAACGTTCCCAAGTACCAGAGGTAAAAGTCTCATAGTGTTACACATGTACCTCCTGTTGATGAAGTACTTTCTGTTGTAGCTTCTCAAAAGTAAGATAATTTTACAGACTGATGTTTATTAGAAATCAGAATCACAGACTGTTTCTGAAGATGGACGACGTGTCTCCACTTTCTCCTGCCGTACGAAAATACATCATATTAACTGTTCTGATAGGTTGATATTGTGAAAATGAAGGTAAAAGGGTGAAATGTTGTTGATTCAATGGAGAACAAGGTGTGTGTGTGTGTGTGTGTGTGTGTGTGTGTGTGTGTGTGTGTGTGTGTGTGTGTGTGTGTGTGTTCTGCCAGTAGCTGGCAGTTTGTTTAATTTGAAGATTATTGAATTAAAAATCAATTTAGATTCTATTAGAGGGAAGAAATCGGATTAGCTGTTGCTTTTATTAAGCACACACACACACACACACACACACACACACACACACTCTCTCTCTCTCTCTCTCTCTCTATCTTTGTGAGGACCCTCTCTAGCTCCTTAACTCTTACTTTACAGTAACCACCACAACTACATGTTGTAGTCTAACCCTTGTGTGTGTGTGTGTATGTGTGTGTGTATGTGTGTGTATGTGTGTGTGTTATGTTGAATTTGACACTGAAAGCACTTAACTGGGGTGCTTTGCTCAGCCTGCTGCCCCTGAGACCTGGATAAGATAAGTACGTTAAGGGTCTGTGTCCCAGTTTGTTCCCGATGAGAACAAGCGAATGCAGCCTGGAGGAAAAAGTGCCACACCCAGCGCCTTTTTTGTGCGGTCACTCTGAGGGCTTCTAGTTGAAAATCTCTGAACTCCATCAGTGTTAACTTTGACAGCTACTTTAGATGTAGTCTGAGTCCTGTCCTCTATTTATGCTCTCAACAAATAACTAATGTGAGCCAACTAGGATTTGTCCCCAGGTTCATTGTAAACTCTGACTTATCCATGTGACTGTTAAGAAGCAGAAACATAACTTGTTTCTTCATGTGCAACATGTTAGTCTGGAGGTTTAAACTGGTGTCCTCTCACAGAGTTGGTGATTCAAACTAAACTTTCATCTCTGTCAGAGAAAACTGATCTGAGTTCAGACTGTTTACTTACAGCACAGCTACACTCACAGATAACTGAGCCTCCTACCTGCCTGTCAAACACCATCAACCCACAAACCTTCTCCAGTCCGGACTGAGTGGAGTCCTGCGGGGTGAAGCTGTGAAGGCTGCGAGCGGAGCTAGCTGCTAACAGCCACCGCTGCAACTAACAAACTCCACAGATCCATTCAGCAGCTCCACCATCCACAGTCAGACACACACGGCTGATTATTTACTGCTGAGTTACAGCTCACAACTCGCACCAACCCAAACATCCTGGTGCAGACTATTTACTGGAGTTTACAGCCTGTCGCTCATCAGGCATCTGAAGATCATTACAAGCACAGGCATTCTTGGCTTTCAGCATTCGATAATCCACCACTAACATTTACATCACGTCAACAAAAATGTTTTTTCATCATCTCGTTTTCGTCATGGAAGAAAAGGTCGTTGATGAATTGAACACTGGTTTTAGTGACCCTAAATATAAGGTGAACCCTAAATCCAAGTCTTAACCCTCAAACAGGCCAATATGTCCTCATTTTCCAAATGTCCTCACTGTGTTGGTTAAAAATGTGTTTCAACACAAACACACACACTGCTTCTTGTTGCCCCTCCCGTAGAAATTTCCGGAAGCTGAACTTGGCAACTCTTCAGTTAGAAATTTTGGCAGCTGGCTCTTTGTCTTTCTCCCCCTCTCTCTCTCTCTCTCTCACACACACACACAGGAGAGAGAGTGCGTGTGATAACTTTGGTGATCCTCTGACTTTTTGTCTGGCGCCATCATCAGGTCACATGTTGATGTGACATCCATCAGCCTGTTCCTGTTTCACATGTTGCGTCCCTCTGCTGGGCCGAGGAGCCTGAGGTGGTTCATGATAACAGAGTCAGAGCAGATCTGTGCTTGCTGCTGCTCGGTAAGTCAACAATGAGCTGATATTAGGATGCTGCTCATAATCCCTGTAACTGTGATCCTTAAATAAACCAACTGAAGCACATCAGGCCCAGATGGAGCACAGGAAGTGCTTTTGTTTCTGTCGTCCTCACACAGGGAGAGAGGTGCACTGCAAAAACACGCCTGTCCACACAGCTCCGTTTCTCTCCAAAGTGTTGTGAACACTGATCTGCACGGCTGTGAAGCCTCTCGTATCTGGTCCTCCATCAGAACAATCGGTGGTGAAACAACAATGAACACTGGATCTGTACCAGGGAACTTCTTCATCACCAGCGGAGTCAGCTGATAAATCAAACTTTTGACAAATTCAGTCAGAAGAGCTGTGAAATTATCATTCACATTCACACCTACAGACAATTTAGAGTCACCAGTTAACCTGCATGTCTTTGGACTGTGGGAGGAAGCTGGAGCACCTGGAGGAAACCTACGCTGACACAGGGAGAACATGTCAGAGCACCTGGAGGAAACCCACGCTGACACAGGGAGAACATGTCAGAGCACCTGGAGGAAACCCACACTGACACAGGGAGAACATGTC